ATCAAATGAAATATTCACAGACTAGATTAACTGTTGAATACACATATCATTTTGCTTGGTGGCATAGAAAAACAGTAACTTTCAGTTACCTCTATCTTAAAGGTGACTCCCTGCAAAATGACATCAGGTTGTCACTCTCACACCACCTGATGTAATTCCAGGTGTTAGAAAAGGCAACACTGAGGTAAGTATTCAGGGTATTACAATAAAACCACAGGAGATGATTTTTCAGATTTTACCAGCCTATTGCTTCAGATGACAGCCCAGATTAATTTTGCACAGTTTCAGGTCAGGAAAAGATTAATCCTTACAAGAAAGAACTATTGGTGGAGTATTGGTCGACAGCTGGTTGAACATGAGCCAGCAGTGTGCCCAGGTTGCCAAGAAGCCCAATGGCATCCTGGCCTTTCTCAGCAATAATGTGTGCAGCAGGACAAGGACAGTGATCATCCTCATACACTCACACCTGTGAGGCCACACCTCAGATCTCATTTTCAGTTCTAGGCCCCTCACTGAGTACAGGACAGACATTGCAGTGCTGGAGCATGTCCAGAGAAGAGCAATGGAGCTGGTGAAGAGTCTGGAGCATGGGAGCTATGAGGAAAAGCTGAAGGAGCCAGGGTTGCTTAGCCTAGAGAAGAGGAGGTTCAGGAGGCACCTCATTGCTCTCTACAACTGTCTGAAAGAAATTTGTTACCAGGTCAGCTACCAGTTATCAGTTGTTACCAGTTGTGTTGGTCCCTTTTCCTGGGTAACATGGGATAGGACAAAAGGAAATGGCCTTAAGTTGCACAAGGTTTATATGCGATATTAAGAAAAATTTCTTCACTGAAAGGGTGGTCAGACATTGGAACAGCGTGCCCAGGGAAGTGCTTTGAGCTACCACCCCTGGAGGTATTTAAGCTGAGTACAGGTGGTGCTTAGGGACATGGTTTAGTGGTGGAGCCGGCAGTGCTAGGCTAATAGCTAGACCAGATGATCTGAAGTATCTTTTCCCAACTCAGTGAATCTGTGATACTATAAAAATGCCCACTTCTCTGTAGTGATCACAAAAGTAACCCTGTGGAGTCTATATTCATAAGTCAGGCAGCACAGCTAAGCCAAATGAATCTGGGGCCAAGAGCTGGTTTCTGCAATTGTCTACATCTTGAGCTTTTCCTTGGCAATTTTGAATGCAGATTTTAAAATTAGTTTTTTTATTTTTGCACAGTGTTTCTCTATAGGAAGACCAGACAAAAGTTTTCCTCCCCTGTATCACTCACAAAACTGTGCCTGTATGTGTAATAATTAAAAAACTGTAGAGCAACAGTTTTTCCTACCTTTCAGAAAGTAATTTACTGAGTTTACCCATATCCAGTATTCCCCTTAAGAGACACACCCTTTAAAAACAACTAAGGCAGCAGCAGTGGTTTCTAGGGATGATGTGTCTGCAAAAATACTATTATAATCCCACTGTATAATAATTTGATATTTATCAATAATCCAAAAACTAACCACACAACAGGACTGATCAGGCTGCAAAACACGAGGGCTCTTTTCCACTTTGAGTCCAAGGGCACAGAAAACTGATAATGCCTGTTCTGCTTGCTACAAGTACAAAAGAAATTGTTTTCTTTGTTTGCTAAGGGTGATTTAATAGAAAACAATATATATAAATATATATATATACAGTTGTACATAGAGATCTGAGAACCAGCAAGATCATAATTATCAATGCCCTGACTTTTTGATTTCATTTCACTTTCAGCAAAATTGGCAGCAAAACTTGTCATCCACTTCAAAACTACCTTTTATTCAGTGTAATTATAAAAATCTACACCTACAGGTTTGCTCAATTTCCATTTCACTTCTTTTTTCTACTATTGCTCCTAAAATTTTAAGGAGGGCAATAATGTTAATGATGGGAAGAATCTTAAGAAAATTTACTAACATTTAAAACTTTGGCAAAAAGCTCATGCTTACCAAGATGCTTCAAAAATAGCACACCACTAAATGACAGCTCCATGTATCCTACCTGGTTTGTTTCCACCAAGCCTAACCATGTTTCTCTCAGATGTCACATGTTCTTACCTTGCCTCAAGACCATTTTGCTGTCAATACGCTGACCTTTTTTTTTCTTGCCCACAGTAATCCAATCAAGCAAGCAGAAATAAAACTTTCCTACAGCACACTGTACAATCTTCTAGAAGGCTTGAAAGCTACAGGTTTCTAAGACGATTAAATGAAAGAGAGAACGACATCTTGACCCTTAAATCCAAAGCTAAGGCATGAGTCTGCAGTTCAGTCCATGCCTGTTACTGAGCCTATTGCCATTATTTTAAAATGAAAGTCTGTATTTTTTGAGATATGTCCATGTATGAGATTATAAATCCAGATTTATTTCCCATAGCCTTAAAAAGAAGGGGCTGCATGCTTTTTTTTCTTTTATTCTTTTTTTTTTTTTCCCCTAAATATATATACACTATGTTACATTCTAAATACCCTTATAGCATTGCTTGCAAGCAAAAAAGGGACTCAGGAAGTAATCCAAATAATAAGTATTTTCAATAGTAATATATTTTAAAATACCAATTTTCAATATTTATATTTGCAAATTATTACTAATATATTTGCAAATGTATGTACGAATATACTGTAAAATAACTAGAGAATAGTTTTGGCAACTTTTCAAATCCTTTGTTTAAAAAGACTTATGCTTCCTGGGTAAACTTGAGTGAAGAAAGTAATACTTTAAATTCACATTCCAACCTACTGCACAGTTTCTTGCTTATGTAACAAATTTAAGTAACTGTAATTGCAGCTGTTGGCCTTTCATCTGTATAAGAAACGGCCTTTTTTTCTGCATGAAATGTCATGTTGTAAAGAATAGCACCCTGGGCCATTCCCATGATAGAATCAAGTCCTCATTAGCCTACTGGAACGCAAGAAATCATCCCACTACAGTGATAAAGACCTCCTGTTTCTATCTCCGTAGAGACACAGGATAGGGAATTACTAATATGACATATTAAGGTACAATAAAATATGCCAATAGCTCAGTACGTCATGTCCTTGGCCTCAGGCAGGAATGATTTTTCGTTTGTTAAGTGTCCAAATTTAAGGAGAAAACCAAACATTTTTTCTCTGAATATCTAATCTGGAACAAACCTATGAGAAATGCACTGTTCAGAAACTTCAAATATTTGAGTAGGTCTTACAGAAATGGGTCACTAGGCAGAAGACAGGTGAAACGGTGTAGGAAGCATGCTAAATTACCACCCTATGGATCTGCACTGTTTCTCACTTATCTTTTCAGACTGAAAATTGTGTGCATACATGCACAGGTGTGCCTACACACACAAATGGTTAATGGTTCCAGTACAGACTGAGAATAAGACAATCAAAAGGTTACAAAACCACTTAATTACAATGTGTAGAGAAGATTATGAGTGGCAGTAAGTAGTGATTTTACTTCAGAAACTGAACACAAAAAACAGTGGCAATATTCCTCCACAAGGTAGCTGATGATCTTTCTCTGACTAAATTTTAAAGGAATTTTGCCACAGGTTTTGAGAGGAGACTCACATATTCTGTTCGTGACTTCTGGAGAGAAACTAGGATTGCTGTGTCTGCTTCCAAAAAACTCATTCATAACTGGAGAACTTAACAGTTTTTCATGGTTTTCAATACGGAGAGAAAATAATAACCACTTCCTAATCCAAGCTTTGCAGAGTATTTAATAATTATGCATATCACTGCAGCATTATAAATCCAGCCCAGATCAAGACTTCAAACAGAATATGTTTCCACCAGAAACATTCTAAATTAAAAGAAAGTGTAATAAATAAATACAATGAATTTAAGAATAAAGCAGAAAAAAATAGGAATATTTAAATAAAAATATACAGAAAAAAGTAGTTGCTAGACAGCCTGATGCTCTCAAATGACTTCAGATGACCTGTAAGTAATAATATGAATCATTTCTAACTACTCCTAAACAAAGCAATTCTTGGAGTTCTAAAATCTGATTTTTTCCACTCAAACACTTGTTTGTCATAAATTTTAGCTAAATGATAACTTGGTGATTGTGCATGGTATCAGTAAAAGGACTTCAATTAGCAATTTGATGAAAGCTTGCAGCACAAATTTTAAAAAAAAACAAAAGAACAAAATTAACATCTGATTAATCCCCAAAGAGGTGCTCATCCCCTAGCATTACAAACCCTGCAAACTTTACTTTATCCCTTGGGCAAAAGTACATAACTGGACAGGTCTCAAATGATGCCTTCAAGGTCACTCAACATAGGCTGTGACAGCAGATGTGCCTTTTCCTTAGTGCACTATATCCTCTAGAGCTGTTTTACAGCAATGTGAGAGGGTGAAGAGTTTACACTAGTTGGTTATGCAATAAATGTCACTGGTATTACTGCTGACTTCAGCCTAGACTCGTAGCACTAAGCAGTTAAGAGGTGATAGAGAAGGATTAATTCCTGAGGAAAATTTTTGATTAATTTGTCAGTGTAGATTGTAGTACAAATTCCCTATCTTTATTCTTCCTCAAATAAGAAAAAATTTTGTGCCAATCTATTAATCCCTTAAGTGTAGGGCTTCATAGCAGTTTTAATATCATTGCAAAAAGGAAGTCATCCAAGAACACAGCTATTTATAGTTGTTCATGTAAATCACGATATGGAGGACATTGGAATAGTAACAGAATAGTGCAAAACACAGTAACTGAGCAGTAACTGTTCTTTGAACTGTCCTGATGAAATTGCATCTGGCAGAGACAGTAAAATCATGCAAAGTGAGCCACTGTTGGTTAAAGTAAAGCAATAGTTACACTGCTAGATACAGCTGCTTTGCAGGCAACATGAGCTCTGAACCTGTCACCTGCTGTAGAAACAAATGCATGATCAAGACATAAAATTCACACTGCTCTCCCAAGACCCAAGGCTCTGTTTTATTATCAGCAAAGCAATTGCTGTTTTTCCAATACTGCATTTTTTTTATTTCGTTTTTTCAGGTAGGAACACATGCCAACCAACAAACGACCAGTGACAGCAAATACCAACTGTATTTCCTCAAAGATACAGGTATTGCCTGCAAAATAATGAAATGTGGTAATGTACTACAATATATTGTCTGTCAGATGTAATTTGTTTGCCAAGAGTATGCCCCAAGGCTGCTCTAACTTAGGATTTTCAGTTTGGATGTGTCACTGACCTGCACTTAACAATACAATTGCAAGAATTTAATGCACACAAATTTGCAATGAAACCAAACTAAACCCATACTATCTGATCTGCCTGTTTCCTCCAAAAGCAAAACAGAGCAACAATAGCACTACTTTGACTTAGGTCCTCTTATACAAAAAGATGCTGTCTTCTATCAGATGTATCACATTGACTGACACTTGCAAAGATCTATTGCTAGATCACATAGAGAAATAAACTATTTCTTTAAGTTATTTCTAGGACATTTAAGTTTAATAAATAATCAACAACTCAGTAATAGCTCGGGTGAGGAGGAAAAGACTAATGGAATGCTAATTGTAGAAGAACAGTAAGCATATATCAATGTAAATAAAACTATATACACGATAAATCATGTTCTCACCAGATACTCTGAATAGTATTTATCTTTGTACACCACAAGTTACTGAGAGAAGGAACTGTGATTTCATACAGTTGTCTAAGGACCTAGTCTAATGGAGACCAGATTATCATCTCAATACTTTGGTACAAAAATTAATAAAAGTTAAAACATTTGTGCTTGTTTTAGAACAATAAGGTGTCAAGAGCATTCAATAAGAAGGAGTTTTATTTCCCTGCCCAAATTTCCAGAATTTTCAAATACATGGCAAAGTATTACTAAGATATTTGGGTTGTACTGATAAAGGAAGATTGTGATTTTCAGATAAGTACTTAATGAGGGGTTTTGAATAAAAAAACCCACAAACATAAAACCAGTCACCATTCTTTCTCTAAACCTCTTATGTCTCCTCTTATGATGCATATCTGTGCATAATAAATTCATTACAATTACCCAGTATTTGCTCTATCTTGTCATTGCAGGTTCTAAAATAGTTGTCAGTGCCAAGAAGCAATTTGAATCTCTAGTTTGTGCCAATAGCACACTTACTGCCATACAGATTTATGGAACCAGCCACTAAGTTAAATAATAAATAATAAAAAAAGAATGTTTAAATAAAAGCTGGCTGAAATACGATGGAATATGGCTAATCTAAGTTATGGTAAAGGAAACACCATTCTTTATTCTACAGACTTAGGAACACCACACTGGTCACAGTTTGCAGGTTAGACAAAATTTGGTAAATGTCTGGGGTGAAACTAGAAAGTATTATTCTTCATATCGAAGTTTATTTTATAAACAGCAAAAGAGGTTGCTAAATAGATATGTCTTGTTACAGATGTTGCAGCTGTTTACTTACACTCATCTCTAATATATCTTCCCATCTGTTCTATACCCTGTTTATAAAACACTTAATACTCATTTATCTCACACAGATCTTTTTAAGACAAGTAGGGGCACATACCTTATTTTTCAGAACTTTCCTGACTTCCACTTCCACATCTCTTTTGTTGTAGGACTTTCTTCAGTCTGAATATACTATCCATTATGTAGTAAAAAAATCAAATTGGCTATAATCTTATTCTACAATTGGGAAAGCGAAATCCATGAATTCTTGGGGAAAAAAAAATCAGAGAAAGGACACAAAAGAACCTGTCTTCTCACCTCTGCAGTTGGCAGTGGAAAACTGACTCCTGCTAATAAAACCAACAACCCCCCAAATCATCAGCAGGGAAGAAGCACTTCATAAAATCTAATTTTTTTGGCCTGTGGCCCTGACAGTGCAGTGTTGGCTGCTAGGGAATGTCACCACTAAGAAAGGCCAAGGTCACCTCAAAGTCAGCAGTGCCCAGAGCATCACTAAGTGTGGCATCCTCAACACTGCAACAAGCACTGCTCTAGGGAAGCTTCCACCACTGCCATCCCATACACACACTTTGAAACACATGTTGTGGAAAGCTTACTACTCCCATTCAAAACAAGACAAGAAAAACAGAGGAATCAGTTGTGCCTTGCCACTCAAAACTATTATATGATGAGTGCAGCACCACTTAAAGTGAGCAGTGAACGCGGGAGATCTGTATATAATGGCACAGAAGTTGAGCACTCTCATCACCAGAATCTGAAGAACTTGTAAAAGCCATTGGATTTTTTTAAACATTTATTTGTGAGATAAATCTGGAGAACTACCTTGGGGGGAAAAGTAGAGGAATATGGGTCAGATGGAAAAGCAGTACAATGCCGCTGTACCTAGGTCTGGCATTTCTGAGTAAGCCTGGAAGCAAAACATAGGCATCTGAACATCTTCTCTGTTTTTCTCTGTTTTAAAGTAAAGTTCCCTCAGAGATTAAGAACTCCAAAGCAGGCAGATATTTTGAGGTCTGTGATACTGATCTGGGGACTGAAATTCCACCTATAGTCTTCTGTAGCTCTCACATTCTGTTGACAATCTGGACAAAAGTACAGAAAAACATTTATAAAGTTTCAAGACTTTGGGACAGCACATTCCTCTCCTTGTACAGCTTCTGGTACAACAAATTCAATCATGTCTGGAGTTCTGAAATACAGCATGGTGAACAATTACCAACACAGCTGGTTTTGTGCAGTCTCTAAGTATCATCTGACTTCTTTTTAATTGCATATGCTTTTTATTTTTCTAACTATATTGATGGGTATGTTTTCCCTTTGCTATTAATTAAAGGTGGCAAGGTTTTAGCCTTCTTTTTACTGGTATAATGAATGAGGGTTGCCAAATGAATCTTAGTAGATGCCCATGATTTAAGAGCATTTAATCTACAGTACATTTGCATGCTGTCACTTTTGTTCAGGGTACAAACGTACAAAATAAGAGACTTCAGTAGTGAAAACTATAATCATTGCTTTGTAGTCAACAAATTACTGAGAGGTGCTAAAAGAAACAGAGAATAGTATCCATTTCATCATACTAATAGTTGCATATATAAGTGCCAGCCTTTGGTCATGGCAGTTAATAGCCCTAAACTGAAACAGCAATCCTAAAAACCCAAGGCAAATTAACTGACAGTTACTGCTACTGGACTAACAGTAAGTTAACATAGAATTAGCTTGAAAGTTTTGGACATAATAAAAGCAGATAAAATGTGACACAAAACCAGACTTCTATCAAATCAAAAGATAGGACAATGACAGTGATGATACTCATGTTCCAAACACATATTTTAAACAATATAGCTATCTTGCAAGATCCAGATATCATAGCTCTATATTCTCAAATATGCTTGCACAGGTAGACCAACTGTGAAATGTCTGTAGAATAAGCCTCTGATCTCCCTAAGGACATGAAATATTAAGAACTATGAAAACTATGAAAAAAAATCTTTTGTTGCTAGTGAGAGAAGAAAAGTTATTCTATAGATAGAATTGCAGTTACTATGGGTTCAACATTAAGAAGCCCTGAAAAAGAACTATTCAGGAGTTTCAGTTTTTCCTATATGCATGCAGGTAATTAATATTTTTCCTGTAATGCACATATATTAGATCATACATTATAATAGTGACTGTGCATATGTAGTGTTAATACAGCCACTGAGCAGAGAAGTACCTAAAAATACTGTTAACAACCTTTCCTTTAGAATGCAAATACTGCCATCAGATACAATGTGGCAACACATGAGATCAATGTGGATCTTAAAATATCACACACAAGCTATGCAAGTTTCTCAAGACAACAAAATTGTCAATATAATAATAACTATGCCTTGTTGGTAAAAAAAGCTCATTTTCCAAATGCAGTTCTCCATAAATGTAGAAAAGTTGTCTTAACTATACCATAAGCTATTTATCTGAAATGCTACTGTCAGTGAAACAGATGTCGTTGCACAATATCCTTGTGCCACCCACATTCTGCTCTCCTAGCTGCCAAACAGAACTGTTTTGAGTTATTTACTAAACCATCACATTCAAGCATTTCTGCAGTGACCTCCATGCTACATTAAAGAAAGTACTTAAAAACTGACATGTAGTTTCATATGACGTTTTACCACAACATAATATATTCAACCTATCTTCACCAGGACAGACAACAACAAAAAAAGATGGCAACCTTACCAGAAGGTCAAAAGAGTCTAATTTTTAAGGACTTTGAATATCAGCTTTTCCCATTTTCCTCTTCCTGTCTATTATACTCAATTTTAGGCTGCTGTTTTTAAATATCTTCACTCAGCTGAGGAAGATGTCAAATTAATTTTAAAGTTTCCATCTCTGTCCTAAAAAATCATCTTTGCAGGATAGCTACACAAAACCTAAAAATCATGCCACAGAATTAGTTAGGCTGGAAGGAACTTGTGGAGGTATCTGGTGGTGGGATCATACTACCTACTGTAGGGCGCATTCAGAGCAGCTCATAGGGCTCAGTGTCACTTGTCAGGGACCCATCTTGATCTGCATATGCCATATGCCATCCTACATTGTACAACTTCAAAACAGTCTGCTTTTTATTTCCTCTTTTCATGTTGTCTTGCTTTTTCATCTGTTCTCCTTTTTTTCATCCTTTTCACAGTGATCTCCAGAGTTCCTCAGTATCAGGCTTCCTTGACGGTTACATGGGGCTATCCGTACCTCAACTTCCACAGTTCAAACAGGACCTTGCCAATATACCCTATGAACTCTAAATGCATAAAGCTTGTGGTCTGTTCTCATCCATGTCACAAAATTGTTCAGAAAATTCAAGTTACCAGATTTTGTCAACCTGGACCCCTTAATAGTCCAGATTGTATTTGTTTGAAAGCTTGTGAAAGACAATAGTGAGTACAATGAACTTCATATAGAGTACTCTGTCTACTTTCATATTTGTACAAGTAGCCAACATACTAAATTAAATAAGATCAGAAAAAACAGTTAAGTTCAAATAGTAGCACTTTTCTAGTACAAAAAAAAAAGAAAAAAAAAGTGCTTTAATTCTTAAAAATTGGAAAGGAATCTAAAAGGCATCTATAGAGATACAAATGCATTCCAGCAACCTGATGAATACATCTAGAGCAGGTGAAAGCTAAGTAGAAAAATCATTCACATCTATGACCTTTTCTCATGGGAAATACTGTCCTTGAGAATGTAAAAGCTTCTTCAATCCTTCAAGACAACTGATAATAAAAGTATTGAAATTAATGTTAAAACACATTTTAGTATTTCAAGAGGTTTTTCATCTGATCAGATTTTTACTCTTTGATACTTATTTGCTAATAAGCCATCTAACCCTTCAACTATCCAGCTTTATGATGCTTTATTTAGACTTCTCAGATTTCTTGAGCTGCTTTCAGACTACAACAGTCTTAAAGATAAATACGACACACGTTTTTTTAGCAGAACATTTGCCAGTTTGGCAGCAGCAGAATTGAAAACAGATAGGCAGAGGGGGTGTTGGTTAGAGGGAAGAGAATTTTCTACACTCTCCTGAAATAAAATTATTCCAAGACACACTAACCCACCAGTTTCAGAGAGCTGCCTAGCAATTCTCTGCCCTAACTGGGGAAGAGAGAGTGAAAAAACTTCTACCTAAAAGCCCCTGAGAGTGCAAATTATGTGTTTAGTATACTAACTTGATTATATACAATATCATTTTGCATTGACAAAGCACACTTTTGATGACTTGGAACAATCTGAGCTAACAGCCAACACTGTAGGAATTAAGTATCCTTTGCCTCCAATAGCCAAGCGTACCACTTCTGTGATACTGAAAACTCTCAGTGTTTACGAAATAAACATATATGTGCATTGCATTTGGTACTAGGCACCAGATCTCAGACTACAAAAAGATTTTATCCTTTGCTTTAGATGATAACTTTTAAGCTGAAAAACCTAGACCTCTCTATTAGGCCTAGGATATGTAATAGGTTTTTTTCCTTGTGTTTTTTTCTTTTGTTTTGTTTGTTTTTAATTTAAAAGCAAGAAAAACAGTAATTAATAATAGTAAACAAATTAACACAGAACTTCACAGGGATTCTTCCCAAAGAACATAATCTGTAATATAGTTCTTGCTATGAGAAAATAATGAGTTCATCCTGCTAAATGTTGTTCAAAGAATAAAATAATTCATAATGACTTATAATTTCAAAGTGTCAATGAAATATTCAAAAATAAGTCTTTACTGCATGACTTGAAGAGCAAAAATATGGTCTGACACCTTCAGAAACTGTCTTCACCAGGAAGTAGATAATATTTACTAGCTAAATTGCAACAAAAATTTGCAATTTGCAATTTACCTCTCAGAGCATCTTTTATCTCCCTTTACCCCTCAATGATTTTTGAACACATTATTTTATCGTTTTAATTAGCTTCAAGATAATTCAGGAAAAACATTTTCATGAAACATATGATGCAAAGCTTGTGTTTTCAGGAAAAGTAGCCAGTTTTCTGATTTTTTTCATCTCTACCTGAAATTGTGTACCTATATTATGAACAAACTCTAAGTAATAAAAATATGAAACAATAAATGAGTGGTCCTAAAGGTATCTTTTTAAAATCAAGTCCACCTAGAGTACTTCAGATATAAATAATGTTAAAAACAGCCTGCAAATTATTTATTCTTCTGTTCAGTTCAAAATAATTGAGCATTTACTTTGGCATATAGCTACTCTCACTACCTCACCCTATAGCCTGGACAACACAAGGCAGATGCTTTTCATATTGATAATTGTTTAAGACCAGTTATAGATTTACATTTTCTGTCCAATTTATGGACAGACGAAAATGCATTAAATAGTTGCTTCATATACCATAGTCTTCCTGTCATTACACACATTTAGACAAACTGTCAAAGTACTTACAATGCACTGTGAAATCTTACATTATTTAGAAACCAACTAACATAGTTAAAAAAGCCCTTCATTAATTAGAGCAAGTACTTTGTTGGCGTTGACCTTTCTTTTCATTTACTTGTAAAATCCCAATTGCGCATTTTGAGAAAGATAAAGATGAGCACGCTAATTTTGGGGAAAAAAAACTAGAACAAAAGTGAAAAAAATAAAGTTACAAGTTAAGTGTACAGCTGTTAATCCTGGTTAGAAAGTAAAATAAATAAATAAGAATTTCTGGATTTTAATTTTGGTGCACTTGTTTTGTGTCTTGCCCTAAAACTGAATGCACCTGTCACAACTGCTAAAATATCCAGCTCTCTCCTCAAAGGTAGGCACATAGGCTTCTGTGAGTCACAAACAAGTGGCCCTCTCTATAGTTTTATACGGTCTGTTTGTATGGTTGTGCATTTATGTTGGTGGATTGTGTCTTTTACAAACCCTTCATACAGCACTGCTAAACAGAGGAAACGAAACAGTGAACTTCAGTTCAGCTGCCTGATACTTTGAGTAATTACTGCATAATGCAACCTTATCTGTTGAATAACCCCAACGTCATATAAAAACAGATAATTCAACTTCAGAATTAAGCATCCAGTTAAAATACTACTACATACATATGCGTTTATGGGTTCAGCTTCATAGATCCCTTAAATACTGCCTGCTTTAAGAAGAGGGCTGTTTAAAAGATTATAATACTTGCTGAAGACCCACCAAGCCCTCTATGCATAAATTTCATTCTCTACTTGAGGCCAAAAATTAGTTTGCATAGTTGGAAATACCTTAAATGGGAAACATCCTCCTTAAACAGAGGATCTATGACTTTCGCCATTGTGGTTACTGTTTTTCAGAGATTTCTTTCATTTAATTGCCACTAATTACAGCAGGAAGTTATTATTTCATTATCAGCATCAGTAGATGAAAATCGCATATAAAAATACCTTTGTATACTGTTCTGAGTAATGTGGGGGGGTTTGAGGAAGAAAGTGCATTAAAAGTCTTTAAAAAGCCAATTTTTGCCACAAGATTCTCCCCAGATATTGCTACTGCTTTATCCAAAAGCTTAGGGAAAAAAATAGTAGCTATATTTCAGACTTCATCGATGTGCCAAACTGCTGAGTAAAGGTTTGTGTCTGTATGCTGGCTTTTTCTTTTTCTTTCTTTCTGTTTGATCAGGATAATTCTGAAGCTAAAAGCTATTGATTTACTAGAAGGTTACCCTTGTTTTTTATTTTCAGTCCTGTCGGTTTTGACTAAACAAAAAGACATTTGAGCAAAACATGGAACTTTTTTATATTGGTTACCATACTGTATTGGTATCCTTATAATACCAAAGGGCTCAGCACTTATAAGGATATTATTATATATAATTCAATTAAAAATTGACCAACCTTTCCTTCAGCATCTGCTGTTACCTTCTCAACCTTGTTCCTGTTTAAAAATTTCTTCACCCACTCTTCTACTTGAACATTGAACTTCATGAAAGTCACATAGAAAAAATATGCTGTCAGGAGCGTTATGCTTTCCCACCACATTATGAAGTTATCCAGAAAAAAGATGATTAGCAAGATCAAGTCAATGATGTAAAAGGACATATCTCGAAAGAGTGGCCACCAAGTAAGATTCAAGATCTCTTTAGAAAATAAAGCACACATTCCAATAACAAATAGGATATTGAACACGGCAGATCCCACTATTGTACCAATGCCAACATTGCTGTGGGATATAAACACTCCTATTAAAGAAGTGAAGAGTTCTGGGGCTGACCCACCAGCAGCCATGAAGGTTGCCCCTGCCACATCATCAGAAATGGCCAGTTTTTCAGTGATGACAGTCAAGGAAGGAACAAAGAACTCATCACATACTATGGCTAAGGCTATAAACATGTAAATCATTCCAATTATATGGAGGATCACTGCTCCCTGTCTTCTCTCCTCAAGAGAGAAAAGGTCCGTGGGATACTCTCCCTTCGAATGATCATCTGTTTCATTGTCATGCCCAGCTTCATATCTCAGAGAAACATGTTGGTCTGGACTGCCGCTTTGATTCTGTTCAGTGAAATCCAACAGAGTTCTTTGGTGCCCACGCACCAGCTTTTGGCTATCCAGGCTGCTGATCAGTGCCATGCTATGTGGTTCCATCTTGAAAAAGGCACTCACTGAAAGCGAGAAAGTACTAATGGCCACTACACTGACAAGAAGCCCTACAATTCGTATCAGTCTCAGTTTTTTCCGAACATTCTGGTGCCATCTGCAACCAAACAGTGGTTCTTCCAAACACCACTCCTCCAAGACACCAGCAAGAGTTTTTTTCTGAAGAGCCATTTTGTGTGAGATGCTGAGGGAGTCAGATGAACTATTCCTTCATACTTTTCTCCAGTTTTGAAGTTAGAAGTGCTTTAAGAGTCTTCCCAGAATCAAGTACTTTTACTCTTCGCAGGATGTATTTTCTTCATTAGTCTTAAAAGGACAAACATATTATTAATATTAGTGAAACAGTATGTAATTAGAAGCATCTAAAAGACTGAGTGAAATTTAACATTTAAAGCAGAATATTACCAGCTGTAACATAAAGACCTGACACATTCCACCAGACACAGCAATGACATTTTGGTTTAAGCAGTAACTCTGTGAATAACAGTCTATGATCATTTTATGCCTCTCATATGCCTACGAGCCACTGTCCTCCTCAGGTGCTGACAAACAAAAAAAAAAATCCTGGAAGGTGAAAACTGTCCACAGATGTTGCATCAAAATGAAGAAACTACTATTTTGATGGATAAACCAAAGGTTATTATCTCATTAATTACTTTCTACTAATACCATGTAATGTCCAAATCCCAAATGCAGGGGCAATAATGTCTGAAAAAACAAACAACATCCTAATAAGCATCTCATCAGACCTTTGGGCAGCTGAGGCAGCACTAATTGAAATATTACGCATACACAGAGAAACAGTCAATGATATGTACGTAAAACATAATGCTGTTCGAACGGGATCAATGTGGAGTTTCTTTAGCTCCTCTGTAAAATCAACTCAGGTTTACAGAGACTCAGCTTGCTTCTGATCAGACCTAGGACATTAGCCTGAATGAGCCAAGAAAAAATTTTCAGTCCCCCCTGGTTTTGTTTGGGTTTATGGCAAGCATTCATCTAGAAATGTGGGATGTTACTTAGAATACCTATGTGGTACTTTTTAAAAGTGCTCCTCTTACAGATCCTTAAGAAAATAGTTTAGATTTATAAAAGAGTTGATCCTGAAACAAATGAAATGGTGAGAAATTATGTGAGAATGACTATTCATGTATGCCAGACATGAGCATACTGGACCAACAGCACTTCCAAAACAGAAAAAAACATCTAGACAACATCTAGATGCTTTGGTTATTGAATTGGAAGAATATTTGTAATGTAGAAATTAGTTACATATGCATTATGCTCAGTAGTGTGCATTTTATATGAAACAAAAGATAAGATACTCTCTTAATAGAACTGATTATTAGTCTTTAGTATTACTGCCCAAAAGATACTTTGTTACATCTCTTTTTCAAGTAATTTGTAGCAACAGCTGAATACTGAACAATCTATTAATCAGTAGAATATTGATTTTGTATTCTCAAATGCAGGATTTCAGCTATTACATGCGGTTATTTCCATAACACTTAATAAGTAATTTGCAGTTTTTCCTGATTTTTTTTTTCAGTTTCCATACTAAGCAGATGTCATTAAGACATACTCCATCCTCAAGGTGCAGCACCTCAGCGGAGATATTTTATTTTCCATCTCAGAGTTACTACTCGACGGACTGTCACGAAAACATTAAGCAGGAAAGTCATCTGAACGGCACCGTAGCTGCTTTGCGCAGTCCGCGGCGCCGGGCCGATGATCGCGATCCCCTGACCATTACACGAATGGGGTAGGGGAAAAGCGCTCAGCTCTCTCCTACCCTGGAACTTGCACGGCCAGCCGTGCTACACCGCTCCCGACACAGCGGACCTCAGACCCCGGCGGAGCGCAGCGCAGCACCCCGCCCGCCCCGCCTTCTCCCTCATCCCCCCGCGGAGATGCCGCAGACCCTCGCCTAACTAAGCCCAACTTCGCACCGCTCCGCGCCGAAAACAAACTTTTTTCCCCTCCGAAAGGGCAGTGGGTCCACTTCCAAAGGCGGAGAGACCCGGAGACACCGACCAGGCGGCTCGGGGCACCGGTCACCCCTCGGCAGCCGGTCCCGCCCATGGAGGCGGGAATTTGCGGCCGGGAGTCCCCGCACCGCCGCAGCCCAACCCCCGCCCGCGCACCCCGCGGCGCTCACCCGGAGCTGCGCTGCGCTGCGCTGCGCGCCGGCCCGCGGGCGCCGGGCAGGGGCGCGGGAACGAGCCGGGATGGGCACAGGGACTGGCGATCCGAGCGTGGTCCCTCGGCACACCGACTGCGGCGGGCGGCGGCAGCAGGTCCGCCCCGCGCAGGCGGGGCAGAAGGCGCCCCGCCCGCCGCGCTCCCACGGGAGCTTGGGCAGTGGCCAAGCCAGGCTGGCACGGAATCTATTATTTTATTTTTATTTTTTTTTCCCTTTTCCCCTTCATCTTACGTTAGCAGGTACGGTTTAACTTAGGTGAAATTCAGCGTTTCTAGCAAAGGTCATAAGCCTCGAGGAGTAAGGTAATTTCAAAGCCTTCTGATTAAAATATCCTTTATGCCAAATGTTTTCTGAAGGGAAAGCAGGACATGAAAGAAGAAGACATTTAGTTTTGGTTTTGTTTTTAAGGAAGATGACATGCCTACGATAAAGTTATTAATCATGATTCGTTTACTTCGGAACAGAGATTTCTGAACAGAGATTTCTTCAAACTGCAATTCAAAGTCACCACAGAGAACAATAAAGATGTACTGAACACACAAGAAAACAGGCTAAGTTCTTAGCCAGAACTGTCGCCTTTTGTTTTGCTCTTCATCTTTCAACATTATTATTTCTCCAAGAAACTGTGTTTCAGATAGTAATTGATTCAAAATTCACATGCATTGAAACTGTTACAATGCAGCTCTTTCCTAGGTAATTCCCAGTGGCACATGCTGTAGATCTATTAGAGTTACACTAGTGATGCTCTTTTGAAATACCACTTGCACTTATCCTACATACCATTGTTAGAAAAACCTGCATGGTAATTCGTGAATAAACCAAAGTAATCTGGTGTAGGAAGGCCAGCACCCCTGTAAGACCCTTATTGGTACAGGGCAGTTAGGAATGATCCTTCATGTGGAAATCCTTAAAAATCGCAGAGGCCAGAGGAGAGCAAAGAGATTGAGGGGGATTGGGAGGGGACAGTGTTAGAGATCTGGGAACAGTTTGTTAAACTCACTAACACTGCTCTGCTTTCAGTGACATCCTTTTCACATTCTGAAAAGTCCTACTGTAAGAGGTGAACTCTCAGTCTCTTTAGGGTGAAGAATAACTTTGATTTTTACAACTTCTACCTTTTTCATTTTGAACTCTGACTTCATCCCTTGGCAAAGAGAAAATAACTGTTACTTGGTGCTTCATGAAGAATACAAAACTATAAGAATTTTTATTAAGTGATAAAACACGGATATTGCAAGAATCATTAGGGTATCACAGGAAACAAAAGGATTGTAGGGATAGGCCTGAGGTGGAAATACTCTGTATTTCCACACTGTCAGTTTACAGCACCTGGGAAATTTGGGTTGCCGTCAGCATTGACTGGAAACTTGTAAGTTCCTCTAAAGACTTATAAAATGGCAAAAGCAGATAAAACAAAGTACAAGGAGACATCTTAGAGACTATGTGGCTTTGAAAGAGGTGTGGATGGTTAAGAAGATATTTCCAAAATTTCAATAATTTCCAGTGAGAGCCATGGCAGACTCACACACACAAAGTGCCCTTCAAAGCCACAGTTGCACAGGCAGAGTACATTTATTTCACATTACATATTGGGAGGTTCTCATTAGTGGCTGACAGCTGATAGAAGGCGCCTGTTGATTATCAAGACTTTATCAGGCTCAGAATGATGCAAGGAGACATGGAGATTGCTTTTAACCATGCTTCTAGAGCCCCCACATAGATAAGAATTATTTATAATGCAAATTTACTGTCTATATCCACATATGCAAGACCCAAATGAAGCAGCTACATCTCAAACACTCAACCTGTGCCTGCTGTACAGTGGTGATGGGGATTAAGGGTGGGCAAGCTTATACAATTTCTTGTGATTGCTGAATTATTGGCTTTTAGTCTTTGAGAAGTGGGAAGTGGCCACTTGAAAAAGGTACAGAAAATGATCCCACAGTTTCACAAATGGTCCAGAGACAAGCTGGGATATGTGTGTAGTACCTCAGTTTCTATCAATTTCTGAATTAACAGTGGAAGCAGGAGTATTTTGCATATGGCCACAGGGAGAATATGTAGGAAATTCCATATAATTCTGCTATTTTAGTCCCTATAATTACACTATCTACTAGCCAAAAGTCCATATATCTGAATTCTAATAGCCATCTTTTTCTCTGTACTTGAAATGATTTTTCTGCTAACAATAAATATGTGTTACAAGCCAAGGTCAACACTATCTGTAACAAGAATTATGTGGTTCACAGATGGGTATCTCTACCAATAACTTAAGCACTTTGAATCATCTAACCCTTTCTCGGATAAATCCTGAGTAATAATCAGGGCAGAAACAAAAAACCCACAGTTAAATTAGTATAAGAATGATAACTAACAATAGAAGAAATTCCATTTTTTCTCATAAAATTAAAAACCAGAGTATATCCTGGTTAAGCACAGAATAATTACATTCTTTAAAGGAAACAATATTGGCTCTCACTTAGTTCAATGTTTCTTCTCTTAAGAGGGAAGACACATCTGCTAAGTACTTGGATTCAGCGCCTACACATTTGTATGTATGACTAGGCTTTCATTTTTATTTTTATTTATATTTATTTATATTTATGCTGGATATGTGGGTTTTAATACCTTATCTGTAGTTTATTGCATCATCTGTGAGAAGCCATCTGAAATCATAAGCCACTCTTCCTTACCACTTCCTATTTCCGGGAAACTCCACGGAATATCCCTTTTTTGTTTGGTTGGTTTTGGTTTTTGTTTGTTTGTTTGTTTGTGGTTGGTTGGTTTTTGTTTGGTTGGTTTTTTGGTTTTGTTTTTAAACAGTATTTTCATTTTAGCTCTTTTTTGTTGTTGTTGTAGACCTTTGACTTGGTAAAAGCAAGCACAGAGGTGGTTTTTGCACTGGAGAGGGAAGGAGGAGGGAGTCAAATGAAAAATCCTAAATAACAGCATCTCCAAGTACAACAGCAGTACCTTCTAAAGCTGAAAGATAAAACTGATGAGGAGGTTACCATGACTACAGAGGCGGCATATTTGAATGAAAATGGATGTTAAGCTTTTAAATGCTAATTGCAGTTGGGAACAGGTGACATTTGAAACATCAAAATTATTTCACACTTTGCAATGTATAACAACTGAAATAGGGTGGGAAAGATGACGACATAGAGTTAAATTAAAACACTGGTGCTGGTTTCAACTGGGAAAGGGCTCATTTTCTTCATAGTATCCAGTATAGGGTTATAATTTGGATTTGTGCTGCAAGCAGTGTTTATAACTCAGACGTTTTTACTACTGCTGAGCAATACTTACACAGGTTCAAGGCCTTTTCTGCTCCTCACAGTACCCCACTAGCAAGAAGGCTAGGGGTGCACAAGGAGCTGTGAGATGACACAACCAGGAGAGCTGACCACAAGTGGCCCAAGAGATATCCCAGCCATATGGCATCATACTCAGCATATAGAGCTGGGGGGAGAAGAAGGAAGGAGAAATGTTCTTAGTGACTGTGTTCGTCTTCTGAAATCACCATCACACATGATAGAACTCCGCTTTCCTGGGGACGGCTGAGCTTTTACCAGCCCGGGAGAAGTGGTGATTGAATTCCTTGTTTTGCTTTGCTGGCATGTGTGGCTTTTGTTTCACTTTTTAAACTGTTTTTATTCAAAACCCATGAGTTTTCTCACTTTCATCATTCCAATTCTTTCCCCTATCCTGCTGTGGGGTAGTGAGCATGTAGCTGCATGGGGCCTGGTTGATGGCTGGGGTTTAACCACAACAGTCCTTTTTGGCACCCAAAATGTTTTGAGTCTTACAGCATTTGAGATAACATTTGATTAGGGTATGCTAGATCAAATTTATAGCAGTTATGCTGTTTAATTATTAATAAACAGGCTCCTGTGCTTGCCTTGGGGTTCACTTGCCTGCCTAGAATATTAGAGTCTAGTGCTCGTTAGTGACTGCTTTTCTCTTTCACTGCTTGCCATTTTGCTGTGCTGCTGATCATTGTGTTCTGCTGGGCCTGGGAACATTCTGATAACGCCAATGGTGATGTGCCTGGGCTGGCAGAGGGCCAGGGCATCACTGCCCATTTTGTGCTGCTGTGCTGTACTGGCCAGGCTGGGACTCCAGAGTGAAATTGACTGAAAGGGACTGTGACCTGTGGAGTACACACAGGGAAGTTTTATGTCTGTGCCACTCCAGGTACACCTGTGAAAGGATTGTGGCCCAGGGATAAGTCCCTGCTGCAGCAGGTACATCTTGAAGCATCAGAGGCTGTACGTGAGGTCATGCTGAAGCACCTCAATATGTATGGCCATGGGTAAGCTCACAACAGAGCAGATTTGTCCCTGGACAGACTACAGCTATGGGTAAGGCCATGTTGGAGCACATTTGCTCCTGAAGGAACTGTAGGTATGTGCAGAGAACCATCCCCTCTTCTACCCTCAGCTCTGTCGGCTGAACATGACACCATATGGTCTGGGATATCCCTTGGGTCAGTTGGGATCAGTTGTCCTGGCAGTGTCCCCTCTCAACTCCTTGTGTACCTCCAGCCCACTCACTGATGAGGTGGGGTGAGGGGAGGAAAAGGTCTTGACACTGTGTAAACACTGCTTAGCAGTAATGAAAGATTCCCTGTGTCATTAAAACTGATTTTAGCACATATTCAAAAGATAGCCCATACTAGCTACATGAAGAAATTAATTCTATCCCAGACAAAACCAGCAAGACACTGATATGGTCTTTATAATTAAAATATGTTGAATAATTTTTTGTGTTTAATATTAATTTGTATTAATAATCAAACACAATTCATAGAAATCATGGTATTTGAGGAGCAGAAACTGTTTATATGTAATGTAAATTGT